CTAGCTAAAGCAGTAAGACAACTAAAGGTCAATGGAATACAAATCAGAAAGGAAGAAGTCAAAGTATCACTATTCACAGATGATATGATAGTATATATAAATGACCCCAAAAATTCTAACTAGGGAGCCCCTACGGCTGATAAACACCTTCAGCAAAGTGGCTGGATACAAAATTAACTAAAAAAAAAAAATCAGTAGCCCTCCTGTATACAAATGATAAAAGATCTCTCATGTTCATGGGTTGGTAGTATTAACATAGTAAAAATGTCCATCTTACCAAAAGCAATCTACAGATTCAATGCAATTCCCACTAAAATACCAACACAATTTTCTTCATTTGAAAAGTGTATTATTATTATTATTATTATTATTTACAGACCTTGAAAGAACAATTCTTAACTTCATATGGAAAAACAAACAAAAAAACAGAATGGCTAAAACAAACCTGTACAATAAAAAAAATTCTGGAGGTATCCCCATCCCTGATCTCAAGCTGTACTACAGAGCAACAGTAATAAAAACTGCATGGTACTGGCATAGAAACAGAATGGTGGGTCAGTGGAATCAAACTGAAGACATAAATAAATAAATCCACACATCTATGGATGTTGATTTTTTACAAAGAAGTCAAAACCATACAATGGAAAAAAGAAAGCATCTTCAACAAATGGTGCTGGTCTAAATGAATGTGTACATGTAGAAAAATGCAAATAGATCCATATTTTTCATCCTATACAAAACTCAAGTCCAAGTGTATCAAGGACCTTAACATAAAACCAGAGACACTATTTCTATTAGAAGAAAAAGTATACCTTGAACTCATTGGCACAGGAAACAGCTTCCTGAACAGAACACCAACAGTTCTAAGATCAACAATTAATGAATGGGACATCTTGAACCTGAAAAACTTCTGCAAAGCAAAGGGCACTGTCAATAGAACAAAACAGCAGCCTATGGATTGGGAAAAATCCAATCCTACATCTGACAAAAGGCTAATATCCACAATATATAAAAAACTCAAGAAAGTTAATACCAACAAACCAAATGACACAATTAAAAATGGGTACAGAGATAAACAGAGAATTCTTTTTTTTTTTTTTGTGAAGGTAGAATGGGAATACTTTAATACTTTTTCTTTTTTAATTTTTATTTTTTATATTAATCACAGGTTATTTACTTTGATTCCCAGCCATAGCCCCCTCCTTCATTCCCTTCCAATCCCACCCTCTCTCCCTCATCTCCTCCCTGCCCCTTTCCAAGTCCACTGCTAGGGGAGGTCCTCCTCCCCTTCCTAGCTTATCAGGTATCTTCAGGACTGGCTGCAATGTCCTCCTCTGTGGCCTAGCAAGACTGTTCCTCCCTCGGGGGGGGGGGGGGGGAGGTAAAGGAGCCAGTCGTTGAGTTCATGTCAGAAATATAAACAGAGAATTCTTAACAGAGGACTATCAAATGGTGGAGAAGCACTTAAAGAAATGCTCAGCATGATTAGTGATCAGTGAAATGCAAATCAAAATAGCTTTGAGATTCCATCGTATACTGATCAGAATGGCTAAGATCAAAAACTCCAGTGACACACGTGCTGGAGAGAATGTGAAGCAAGGGGAACACGCCTCCATTGCTGGTGGGAGTGAAAACTTGTACAACCACTTTCTAAATTAATCTGGAGGTTTCTCAGAAATTTGGAAATAGCTCTACATCAAGACCTAGTCATACCACTCCTGGGCATATACCCAAAAGTTGCTCTACCATACAACAAGGACATTTGAACAACTATGTTCCTAGCATAGTTCCTTTATTTGTAATAGGCAGAACAATCCAGACGTCCCTCAACTGAAGAATGGATAAAGAAACTGTAGTACATTCACACAATGGAATAGTAACTACTCAGCTATTGAAAACAAGGAAATCTTGAAATTTTCAAGCAAGTGGATGGAAGTAGAAAAATATAATCCTGAGTGAGGTGACCCAGGAACAGAAAGACACACATGGTTTGTACTCACATAAGCAGATATTAGCCATAGAGTACAGGATAACCAGACTACAATTACAGACCCAAAGAAGCTAAGTAACAAGGAGGGCCCAAGAAGGGAGGGTGCATGGATGTCATTTAGAAGGGGAAGTAGAAACGACAGAGGAAGTGCTTGGAGAAAGAAAACAGGATGAAAGAGGGAGTATTGATTGAATTGAGGGTGGGGATCTGATGTGGGGAGAGTGAAGAGGTGGAGGAGGAGAACAGAGGGCATGCAGAGATAAGAGAAGCCATGGCCTGGGGCTTCTCTGAAACAGGCTGGAGACCTACTGGCAGGGTGGGCTTCTGGGAGGATTTGGGGGTGAATTTAGCAGAGACCCCCTACTAGCGGGAAACAGGGAGACTGAAGAGGCCACACTCTAACCAGACAGGACTTCAAGTAGAGGGAGGGGAATAACAAACCCACCTACAAAAACTTGGACCCAAAATTTACCTTGCCTACAAGATGTGCAGGGGAAAAGATAGAGCAGAGACTGAGGGAATGTTCAACCAATGTCCAACGTCACAGGAGAGAACCAACCCTTAACATTACTAAGGACACTCTGCTATGCCTGCAAACAGGAGCCTAGCATAGCTGTCTTTCGAGACGCTCCACTCAGAAGCAGATCGAAACAGATGCTGAGACTCACAGACAAACACTGGACAGTGCTTAGGATGTGGAAGAGTGGAAGAAAGGATAGAAAGACCTGGAGGGAACTGGATCTCTACAAGAAGACCAAGAGAGCCAACTAACCTGGGCCCAGGGGAGCTTTTAGAGACTGAAACACCAACCAAGGACCATGTATGGACTGGACTTAGGCCCCTACTCATATGTACATGATGAACAGCTTGGTCTTCATGTGGATTCCCTAGCAAAGGGAGCAGATGGGGGATGGGGAGTCCTGTCTCTGGTAAGGACTCTCCTGCAGGCTTTTTGATGACGTCCCCCTGGCTGGGCTGCCTGGCCAGGCCACCATGGTAGAGAATGTGTGCAGTCCTGATATGACTTGATGTGCTGGGGTGGGTATGTGGGGGTGAGGTTCCCCTTTTCTGAGTGGGGGCAATACAGGGAAGAGGGAAGGATGGTGGGACCAGGAGTTGAGGATGTTGTAAAGTGAATAAATAAATAAAATTTTAAAAAGATATCCATAGGGGTGCAAAAGTGGTACGTATATCTTGGTGGTAACGAGCAGAATAGTTGGACTAAAAACCCACATTAGGGGGAAATGATGCTTGCTCTTATACACATAGCCAACTAACATTAGCTGATGAAGCCAGCCACTACTTTTCCAAACCACTATAATCTAACTACATTCTTAATCCTTATATACACAGATAAGCGAAACTCTTCGCTCTCATTAAAGAATCTTCTTTTTGCAACGAAGACTGTTACCAAAAGCCACGAACTGTCAATACAGAGAAGACAACAGACCATGGGGTGCCTAGCCACAACAGATACACTTCAGCTGTAATCCCTGCACCCAAGGCTCAGGGAACACATGGGAATTGGGTGGAGGTCGATGGTAAGAGCCAGAGAGAACCAGGGCATCTGCTGGGAGATGGTGTCTTCCATGTGGCAAGGAAGCAGCACCCATGAAATCTCAACTATATGGTTGCAGAAATGGGACCTGAAAATAACGAGACCAGTCCACATGCCAAATTTTGAAAGATGAAATTTCATGGGCCCCACCGCTCCACGAAGAGATAAAGGCAATTATGGCTGCCAAGACAGGGAAAATAGTATCCTTCAGGTATGAGCACCTTACTTGGTTATCTAGGGCAACAGGGTCAACCCAAAAACATAGAAATACATATACAAACAACACTGAACAGACTCATATTTGCGGATTCTAATTTTTTTTTTCAAATAAAAGATGGTATATTTTCTTGGGTTAGAATTTATTTCGGCGATGAAACACTGTTACCAAAAAGCAAATTGAAGGTGGGGGTGGTGTTTATCTGGCTTGCTCTTTTATATCACTCACTATTCATTGTCTAAGGAAGTCAGGACAGGAACACAAGCAGGAACCTGAAGACCTTAGCTCATGTACAGACCGTGGAAGGGTACTTAATAGCTTGCTCCCTATGGCTTGCTCAGCCTGCAACCCAAGATCCAAGACCACCAACCAGCAGTAGCCCCACCCCCAAGGAGAAGGGCCCTCCCACATCAATCACTACTTAAGAAAATGTCTTACAGGCTTGCCTACATCCCATCTTTTTGGAAGACCCATTTTCTTGATTGAAGCACCCTTCCTCAGATTATTTTAGCTTGTGTCAAACTATCCAGCACAGTAAAAATATTGTGCATGTTAGTACAGTCAACTTGTAAGGTTGCCAGGTAAAATGCTCAGTTACATTCGAATTTCAGATAAACTGCAAATAATTACTAGCATGTCCACACAACTATATTGGACAATTACAACCCTCCAAATTACAACATTCTCTCCATATGGAAACATTTCCTCTAGGGGGGTAAGCCTTGGCTCACCAGTTTCAGTAGGTAAAGGAAAGGTACAAATGCAGAAGAGAAACGTGGAAGATTCTTGAGTGCCCTACTCAGCTGTTAAGGGAGTAAGTAAGCAGTCACTGGGAGTAGAGACTGACCAGGCATCCCAGGAGAGAGAGGTGTTCTGACTGTGGGCTGCATGCAAGCTTGTAGAGGTTCTGGGAGTCACAACCCATGTGAGGGTGGGCTTTCTGGTGACGCAGCTGCGTTTGAGTTACCCCTGTTTCTCATGAATCACCCCTCACAACACGGTTAGCAAGCCTTGGGAACGCTCGTTGGTTCGCCAGAATGGACGCTGGTGCAGTAGGTTCTTTAGTCCGTTGCTGGCTCCCTTTCTGGAGTGAGTAGACACGTGTGTTGCATCTCCCCAGGAAAAGTCTGTCACACAACACACGTGACAAGCTTTAATTGATTACATGAAGGCAGTGCTGCTACATTGGGCACCACAGACCCATGATTACAAGAATTACTTCAGATCCTTCTTACCTGTGTTTACTGTGATGTTTTCTCTAGGAATATCAATTATCCAGACCAACTGATTCCTGAACTTGAAGAAAGAACAATACATGATTGTTCAGAATACATGATTTTACAATGTTAATAGCAATACTTATTTTGGCATATTCTGCCCAATCTTTTAAAAATTAAAATTAGTTAAATTTAGAAAAAAAATAAAATAAAATGGCCAATGGAAAACTAATGATTTTTAAAACTTTTAGGATAATACCTTGTTTTCCAAAATTTTCATTGTCCTAAAAAGAGACAGAAAAATAAGTAAAAATTCAGAAATAATTGTTGAAGCCTTTCAAAATTTGGCAGGCACATAAAATGGAGCTCAGATATGCCAGTCAGGAAAATGCAAATGGCAACATTTAAATACACAAAGGAAAATGATGCACTGCATACAGGAAAGATGATTAAAATTCTTATGTAGTAACAATTCTGCTAATTGATTTTAGAATGGCACATTGCTAAGACTAAAAAAAAAAGAAACTGGAAAGATTCCATACTGGCAACTTAGCAGCACACCTGAAAGCTGTAGAACAGAAGGAAGCAAACACAATGAAGAGGAGTAGATGGCAGAAAATGATCAAACTCAGGAGTAGAGTCAATAAATTGAAAACAAAAAGAAAGAAGATACAAAGAATCAATTATACCATGAGCTGGCTCTTTGAGAAAATCAACAAGATAGACAAACCCTTAGCCAAACTAACTAAAGGGCAGTGAGAAAGAGAGAGAGAGAGAGAGAGAGAGAGAGAGAGAGAGAGAGAGAAAGCAGAAATGAAACAGAGAACATAACAGACACTGAGGAAATCGAAAAACTTATTAGGTCTTACTTCAAAAGCCTGTGTTCCACAAAATTGGAAAAGCTAAAGGAAATGGATGATTTCTGGATAGATTTCACTTACCAAAATTAAATTAAGATCAGGTAAACAGTTTAAACAGTCCTATGACCCCTAAGGAAATAGAAGCAGTCATCAAAAGTCTCCAAAGAAACAAACAAAAAAAGCCAAGGGCCAGATGGTTTTAGTGCAGAATTCTACCAGACATTCAAAGAAGAGCTAATATCAATACTCCTCAAACCTGGGATGAAGTCTACTTCATGATGAAGGTATGGTTCAACATACGAAAATCCATAAAACTATAAAATATAAATATAAATCCTTAAAACCATATAAGCAAATTCAAAGAAAAAAAATCATATGATCCTCTCATTAGATGCAGAAAAAGCCTTTGACAATATCCAAAACCTCTTCATGATGAAAGTCTTGTAGCTATCAGGGATACAATGTTCATATCTAAACATAATAAAGGATATATAGAGCAAGCTGGTTGCCAACATCAAATTAAGTGGAGAGAAATTCAAAGCAATTCCACTAAAATCAGGAACAAGAAAAGTCTGCCCACTTTCTCCATACCTCTTCAATATAGTACTTAAGTTCTAGGTAGAGCAATAAAACAACTAAAAGATCAAGGGGATACAAATCAGAAAAAAAGAAGCCAAAGTATCACCATTTGCAAATGATATGATAGTATACATAAGTCACCTCAAAAATTCCACCAGAGAATTTCTACAGCTAATAAACCGCTTTAGCAAAGTAGCTGGATACAAAATTAATTTAAAAAAATCAGCAATCCTCCTGTACAGAAACAACAAATGGGCTGATAAAGAGATTTGGGAAATGACACCCTATAGGAAACTACACCCTTCACAATAACCACAAATAATATAAAGTATCTTGGTGTAACTCTAACCAAGCAAGTGAAAGACCTGCACGACAATAACTTCAAGTCTCTGGAAAGAAATTGAAGATACCAGAAGATGGAAAGATGTCCCATGGTCATAGATTGATAGGATTAAAATAGTAAACAAGGCCATCTTAGCAAAAGCAATCTACAGATTCAATGCAATTCCCATCAAATTACCAACACAGTTATTTACAGATCTTGAAAGAACAAGTCTAGTTTCATCCATTTGCCTGCAAATTTCATGATTTCCTTGTTTTTTATATCGAAATAGCATTCCATTGTGTAAATGGACCACAATTTCTGTATCCATTCTTTGGCTGAGGGACATCTAGGTTGTTTCCAGATTCGGACGATTATGAATAAAAATGCTATAAACATTTTGCAGGCAAATGGATGGAACTAGAAAAGATCATCCTGAGGGAGGTATCCCAGAAGCAGAAAGACATGCATGGTGTATACTCACTTATAAGCACATATTGGCCATGTATAGGATAAACATACTAAAATCTATAAACCTAAGTAAGCTAAACAAATTAGGAGGACCCTAGAAAAGATGCTTAATTCTCATTCAGAAGGGCAAACAAGATAGATACCAGAAGTGGTAGAAGAGAGGGAACAGGAGGGGAGCTTATCACAAATGTCCTCTAAAAGACATCCACCCAGCAAGGGATGGAAGCAGATGCAGAGACTCAAAGCCAAACTTTGAACAGAGCACAGGGAGTCTTATGGAAGAAGGAGGATATAGAAATACCCAGATGGGGCAGGAGCTCCACAAGGAGACCAAAAATGCCAAAAATGCTGGATCCAGAGAGGCCTGCAGAGACTGATGCATCAATCAAAGACCATGCACAGAAAGGACTTAGATCCCCTGCTCAGATGTAGACCATAGGCAGCTCAGTCTCCAAGTGGGTTTCCTAGTAAGGGGAGCAGGGACAGTCTCTGACATGAACTTGATTGCCTGCTTTTTGATCACTTCTCTCTGGTGGGACAACCTAGGCAGCCCACAGAGGAAAAGAATCCAGGCAGACTTAATGAGACCTGTTAGGCTAGGGTCAGTCAGTAGGGGAGGAAGACTTTCTATCAGTAGACTTGGAAAGAGGGAAGTGGGGGAACAGGGAGAAGGGTGGGACATGGAGGAGATGAGGGAGGGAGCTACAGATAGGACACAAAGTGAATTAATAATAACAATAATAAAGAGACCAATTCTAACCTTCATATGGAAAAAAAAACAGACTAACTAAAGCACTCCTATGCAATAAAAGAACTTTTGGAGTTATCCCCATCTTTGACATCAAGCTATACTACAGAGCAACAGTAATAAAAACTGCATGGTACTGGCATAGAAATAGACTGGTTGATCAATGGAATCAAATTGAAGACTTAGAAATAATTCCCCATACATATGGACACTTGATTTTTGACAAAGAACCAATAGAAAAAAAAAAAAAAAAAAACCATGCATCTTCAGCAAATGGTTCTGGTCTACCTGAATGTCTACATGTAGAAAAATGAAAATAGATCCATATTTATCTCCCCGAACAAAACTCAAATCCAAGTGGTTCAAAGACCTCAATATAACACCAGATACACTAATTCTATTGGAAGAAAAAGTGGGGAACAGCCTAGAATTCATTGGCACAGGAGACAAGTTCCTGAAGAGAACAGGAACAGCTCAGGCTCTAAGAATCAATAAATGGGACCTCTTGAAACTGAAAAGCTTCTGTAAAGTAAAGGACACTGTCAATAGAACTAAATGACGGTCTATATATTGGGAAAAGATCTTTACCAATCCTACATCTGACAAAATACTAATATGAAAAATATATAATGAACTCAAGAAATAAAACACCAAAAAAAAAAAAAACAATTAAAGAATGGGGCACAGAACTAAACTGAAAATTCTCAACAGAGGAATCTCGAATGACCAGAAAGCACTTAAAGAAATGCTCAAATTCCTTAGTCATCAAGGAAATGCAAATCAAAATGACCCTGAGATTCCATATTACACTGGTCAGAATGGCTAAGATCAAAATCTCAAGTGACCATGTTCTGGCTGTTATGAATAAAGCTGCTATGAACATGGTTGAACAAATGTCCTTGTTGTGTACTTGAGCATATTTTGGATATATGCCTAGTAGTAGTATAGCTGGATCTTGAGGAAGTGCTATGCCTAATTGTCTGAGAAAGCGCCAGATTGGTTGCCAAAGTGGTTGCACAAGCAATGGAGGAGGGTTCCCCTTTCTCCACATCTTCTCCAGCATGTATTGTTACTTGAGTTTTTTATCTTAGCCATTCTGATGGGTGTAAGGTGAAATGTCAGGGAAACAACCCAGATGTCCCTCAACTGAGGAATGGATACAGAAATTGTGGTACATCTACACAATGGAATACTACTCAGCAACTAAAAACAAGGAAATCATGAAATTTGCAGGCAAATGGTGGGAACTAGAAAAGATCATCCTGAGTGAGGTATCCCAGAAACAGAATGACATACATGGTATATACTCACTTATAAGTGGATACTAGACATATAATATAAGATAAACCTACAAAAATCTGTACACCTAAAGAGGGTGAGCTAGAAGGAGGACCATAGGTAAGATGATCAATCCTCATTCAGAAAGGCAAATGGGACAGGCATCAGAAGAAGGAGAAAACAGGAAACAGGACAGGAGCCTACCACAGAGGGCCTCTAAAAGACTCTACCCAACATTCTATAAAAGCAGATAATGAGACTCATAAACAAACTTTGGGCAGAGTGCAGGGAATCTTAGGAAAGAAGGGGGAGATAGTAAGACCTGGAGAGGACAGGAACTCCACAAGGAGAGCAACAGAACCAAAATATCTGGGCCCAGGGGTCTTTTCTGAGACTGATACTCCAACCAAGGACCATTCATGGGTATAACCTAGAACCCCTGCACAGATGTAGCCCATGGCAGCTCAGTAAGGGGAAAGTAAGGGGTACAGGAACTGTCTCTGACATGAACTCTGCCGCTGGCTCTTTGACCACCTCTCCTGGATGGGGGAAGCAGCCTTGCCAGGCCACAGAGGAGGACAATGCAGCCAGTTTGGATGAGACCAAGCTAGGATCAGATGGAAGGGGAGGAGGACCTCCCTTATCCATTGACTTGGAGAGGGGTATGGGGAAGAGGGAGGGAGGGAGTGTGGGACTGGGAGGGGAGGAGGAAGGGGGCTAGAGCTGGGATACAAAGTGAATAAACTGTAATTAATATAAAAAATAAAAATTAAAAATAAAATCTCAAGTGACAGCACATGCTGCCGAAGGTGTGGGAGAAA